CTCACCACAACCTCTGCCTCCTGGGTTCAAGTGATTCTCCTGCCTCAGCCTCCCAAATAGCTGGGATTACAGGCATGTACCACCATACCTGGCTAATTTTTGTGTTCTTAATAGAGACAGGGTTTCACCATTTTGGCCAGGTTGATCTTGAACTCCTGACCTCAGGCAATCCACCCACCTTGGCCTCCCAAAGTGCTGGGATTACAGGCATGAGCCTCCGAGCCTGGCCACTTTTACCTTATCAGTCAGTTTTTTAAAAGTCATTAGGGAGGTAGATTTTACCTTTCTGTGAGGGAAAGAATGGTAAGTTGATCTACAGAGATGGAAAAATTCCAGGGCTCATAGCCACTAAGCAGAATTTTTAAGAGAGGCAAATTGTTTTTTTCTGTCAAATAATAAGCTAATATTACTTCTCCAAATATGAGACCTTCAGGAGGAGTTTCCAAGGACCAAGTACCAACATACCAACAGATTATTAGTTTCTCTCTCTCTGTTACACACACACACGCGCGCACACACACACACACACACATACACATACAGATATGTAATCCAGCACAAATACCAAAATTCATTCAGGGTAGCCACCTTTTTGTCTTAAGCGAGAGATAGTTTTGATGTTTGAGTGGATTGCTCCCAGGATATTCTCTTGTCATGGTTATTTTATGTAAAATTCAAAAACCAATTACATTATTTACTCTGTAATCTTTTACTTAATCAGCTAATGTCTGGCAAGTGTGATGTTTTGGGGAAGTTACAGAAAGATTCCGGCCAGGTGCTGTGGCTCACACCTGTAATCCCAGCACTTTGGGAAGCTGAGGCAGGCAGATCCTGAGGTCAAGAGATCAAGACCATCCTGGACAACATGGTGAAACCTTGTCTCCACTAAAAATGCAAAAATTAGCTGGGCGTAGTGGCATGTACCTATAGTCCCAGCTATTTGGGAGGCTGAGGCAGGAGAATCGCTTGAACCCAGGAGGCAGAGGTTGCAGTGAGCCAAGATCACGCCACTGCACTCCAGCCTGGGCGACAGAGCGAGACTCCATCTCAAAAAAAAGGAAAGATTCCCAGTTTATCCCTTATTCTTCCTCAAGATTTGTTGTAAAGATAACTTAGGTTAACACTCTCTTTGTAAAATACACTGTTCAATCTACGGACTCAGTAGTCAGCTTCTTGTTACCTAATTTCTGTTAACAGGTACCTGGATATGTTATTTAGAAAGTAGTTGCCAATAAATTAGTTATAAATCACCAGTTTCACTGCCTTCTGAACACATAATTATTGTGGTCTCAGTATTCCCTATGGTGGCTTCTCCTACTCCTGGTATTGCCCTGAAATGGGCCAAAAGCCCTGGCTCCCCAATGCTCAGGTTATAGAACGCTGTCCAGGTACCACCTAGGAGAGCCCAGCCTCACTGAAAGTATTCAAATTTAGGAATGGGTTTGAGAAATAGGTTGCTGGTGTGTGCTCAGCACAGGAATCTCTCCTCCTTCGGTTAGTCTATTTCAAAACTGAAAACACTGTCATTCCTTAAGAAAACAGGAAAAAGTATTCCAAACCTCTCTTACTAGAAAATTTGCCATATTACCAAATCTCAAAAACTCTCAGGAAATGAGAAAGTCCCAGTTTCTGGTAAACTATTTGGGCCCTTTTCTTAAGTTTTCTAACCAGTGCTATTTTCTTGAGGTGAGGCAAAGTTACTCAAGATCATTGCTCCCACTCAAGGCCTTGATAGGGCAAGTCAAAGGCATGGACCGTTATTAAATTGATCACATCATAAGCTGTGAAAACTCACATCTTCTCCAAACATCTGCTTGGAGCATTATCATTGCATAGTTTGCTCTGGTGTTAAGGGAAATGGCTATTTCACAGGAAATCAAATGGCAGTGGGATGGGGGTGTTTCCTGAGCTGCTGATGGTACTGGCATCTGGGCAAGCATTCCTAGTCCTTTTTGGTCTGGGCCTCTTGTTCTATCACAACCACAAGCTGTTTAAAATAAAATGTCAAATCACAGGCAGGTCATTTTGTCCTGAGTGAATCATTTGAAGAATTGAAGTCTTGGTCAGCTGTGATTGTTGGCTTCGCAAGGAAAAAGAAGGAACACTCCAAAATGCTAAGTCCTTTGAAGAATAGTGACATACAAGGAAGAAAATTCCATGCAATTTGGAGAGGAAAAATTTTTCTAGGGATCTAGTAGCTGAGATATTTTATAGTTTAAAAACAGACTTCCAATATCTTGAGACTACAGTTAGCTCTACGAAATAAAGAGGAGTCAATAATATATGCAACTCTATAGTCATTCATTATTTTATCCAGATTGACAGAAGCAGAGGAAACCAAGAAAAATGGAAGTGGTAAAAAAAAAAATGCAGTAATTGCCAACATTTACTGAGCATTTACTATGTGCTAGGCCTTGCTATAGGCACTTAGATTTATTTTGTTTTCATAACATCCCTAAGAGGTAGGTATTGTATGCGTATTTTGCTTATGAGGGAATCTGCTGAGAGAGGTTAAGTAATTTTCTCATGGTCACAGCCTCAGTCTTTTAGACCATAGTGTCAAAAGAAGTTCTTACTGTTAGTCAGGGTAGTGCAATGAAGAAAGTGTTTGGGGAAAATCCTGGCCCAAAAGTATGTGTTGAGATGATGTGGAGATCATTCAACTTTCTCTTGTAGCTACAGCTTTGAGATGCACCCATTGGTGTCCACACTGGCCTGCTGTCTTCAAATATTTCTCTATGTCTTGTTTACTTGGTTAGTGTAGAAAAGCTGACATCCTGGGTCTGCTCTCACAGGAATAGGTGAGATTTTCTCTGTAGCCAGTTATCTTGCTAAACCATATTTTTGGTCACAAAGAATCAGGATAAGAGAAAGTAGATGAAACTATGGAAACTCCAGGTGCCACCAGAAAAGCAAGCCAAAGTATATTCATCTGCTGAAGCTGTAATCCAAGTACTAAGTATACCTTCAGAAGTTGTATGCATTGTTCTTGAGGCAAAAAAGAAATCAAACATCTGCCCTTCCTCCCACAACCTCTTTACTTCTTTCTCTTCCTAACATCGTATCTCACATCTACAGCTGCGGGCACACAAATATGACATACAGCTTTATATCTTTATGCGCAAAGGCAAAAGGTAGCTATGGATAAAGGAGGTGGCATTTAAAAGAACAATATCCGTGTTTGATACTGCTTTCATTATCAGTAATCAAAAGGTAGGCTTTCAGCAGAACAAAGTAAGGTACAGGTCCCTTGGAAGCCATTTCAGTCATTCACACAGTGTGATCCACCATTATGAAGCAGAATTTGAAATCAAAAGACAATAGTACCCGTATACATCAAACTAGGAGTTCCACTGGGGTCAGTCCTTGGACTGCCCATGTAGAGTTGGGCTGCCTGACTCTCAAAACATTGCCCTTGCTAATTTGGGTTGCTCACTTCCTGTTGAATCAGGGATGATTTTTCTTTGCTGTAGTAAGTCGACCCTGCTTCACCTGCTTCACTGCAAGAGTCAAGCCGATTCACAATTCATGTCAATTCCAGGAGTGACGGCCAGATGGCAGCATCTGGCTAGTCAGTTGGTGAGTGATTCCACCTCCAATCTTGATTAAACTCTGCTGCTGGGAAGTAGCAATTCTGAGCATATATAGAGTCTTTGATATCCTGAATATTTGGGGCATGGGATGAGAGAGGCAGTAGAGGATAGTGGAAAGAGCACAGGGAATAGACTAAGATCGGCCTGGATTCCTTTCTTTAATCTGTCAATGAAAGCAACGAATGTTCAGAAACTACATGGCAATGCTTTTTTTGTTGCTGCTCTGGATTTTTTTTAATGCTATAAAATACATGCTTATTTTTCACTGCAACAGGTGACAACACAATGATGCTGCAACTAGAGAAGACAGACAGCTACCAACAACTATTGACAAGACAGGAGGAACATCAAGAATAGATGCAAGACAAAGCAATGTATCTCCAGGGCCTAGATTTTTTAGGTTATGTATGCATAGAAACAGCAAGGAGAAGAAGACACAATCTAAGTTTTCTTTTGAGGATATTGTGCTGTTTAAATTTATTTTTTAGACATTTCTTAGCTTTTCTTATTAGTCAATTTCATAAGCCTGGGAAACACCTTTACTCTATCCATTTAATTGCATTTGTTCATTAGTTCACTGATTTCACTTATTAGTTTATTCAAACAGTAGCTATTATCAACTGTCTTCTAAGTACTCTATCTGGGTACTCTGGTTTTTTTTTTTTTAATAGAATTAAAAGGATTTCCAAAAGGACCTGATTTTACATTAGAATTAGAATAATACCTTTTAGATTAATGTATAACATATATTATTCTGGAATTAGAATAATATATTTTAAGTCACATTAGAATAATAGCCACATGATAAAAAGAAAAGAAAAATAATAAAATTAATGACAATAAGAATAGTCATGAGAGGAAAGGCAAAGCCTAAATATTCCTCTGTCCTCTTCCTCCACCTAGATTCCCAGATGTAAGGTATTAAAAGTAGTTTACAAACTTGCTTTGACGTATCCTGAGTCTACCCAAACTGTCGGGAATTGGAGCTTCCTGGGAACCAAACACTCCCCAAAGATCATACACATATGGAATTCCCCCAAGAGACACACAACTGCAGTTGCATGTAGGTTCACCCTTTCTCTCTTTTTATACTCTGACCACACAAGCCTGGCAGCCACGCAGTCACAGCCACGCAGTCAGTCCCTGACCTGTGTCATTGTACTGGCTGCAGCAACTTCTCTCTGTAAATGAGAAAGGTCTTGCTTTCAGAAAAGATCATGTTTGCAAACTACTCACTCTTGGGGAAGCGAGGGTGGGAAAAGTAGCAGAGATGAGTGGGGAGATGGAGCATATAAGAAGGAGGAAAGAGGAGACTATGGAGTCAGGATGCCAGCTTGCTATTCTCAACACCTTTTTCCAGTGCCCAGTTCTTACCTTATTTCTCCTGCCCCTTGCTTTCTTTTCTAGGCACCTCTAAGGTACTGATGGCTCTGCAGAGGACCCATTCATTGCTTCTGCTTTTGCTGCTGACCCTGCTGGGGCTGGGGCTGGTCCAGCCCTCCTATGGCCAGAATGGCATGTACCAGCGATTCCTGAGGCAACATGTGCACCCTGAGGAGACAGGTGGCAATGATCGCTACTGCAACATGATGATGCAAAGACGGAAGATGACTTTGCATCATTGCAAGCGCTTCAACACCTTCATCCATGAAGATATCTGGAACATTCGTAGTATCTGCAGCACCACCAATATCCAATGCAAGAACGGCAAGATGAACTGCCATGAGGGTGTAGTGAAGGTCACAGACTGCAGGGATACAGGAAGTTCCAAGGCACCCAACTGCAGATATCGGGCCATGGCGAGCACTAGACGTGTTGTCATTGCCTGCGAGGGTAACCCACAGGTGCCTGTGCACTTTGACGGTTAGATGCCACCCTGTAGGGATTATCGCGAGTGGTTGACCTTACACTTACCCCTTAAATAGCAGTGAGTAATGTGTTTGAGCTGTCCCAGGCTCTGTCTCCTCAGCTCATTTCTTATTCTTTTTCTCTATATAACTCGTTCTATTAAATACATTGCACCAAAGAGAAATGGAGACATAAACCTATAATGAATGAGGCTGGGCTTTTCTGTAATAAGCTTCCTTTTATAATACTGCTCAGCTTAGCTCTCTCAGATCCTATCCTGTGGAATTTAGTTATTATGTGTATTTATGTAGTATTTCAAACATTTCAAAAATGCTTTCATCTATGTTTATCACATTTTAATACCACAGCACTTATAATGATGTCATTACATATAGAAGCTCAAAGTTAAGGGATTTGCTGAAGACTATAAAATTAGTGGAAGAATTGAGACAAAAATCCAGTGTAGCTGGCCACTTATTCAGGGCTTTTTCTACTTCATCACAAGGAATGTTTTTAAAGTCTCTGCTTTTTTTTAATCCTTAAAATTCACCTGTCCAGGGAGGCATTAAAAATTTGGCAATGTATGCCAGCAAAATGTGAGCTCTGTATTTTTTGGCATTGTTATGTTTGGGTTGAATAAGATTAAGAAAATGATATTGGGAATTTTCTTTTTCCTGAACCTTTGAATCACCCTAGTAAGTCAAAGTATTAAAAAAAGTACTAGATCATTAAGACTCATGTGCTCTTGCTGACTGAAAGATTTTTTGTTTTTCTTGTAATAAAGGACTTAAACTGAAGGTACCTGAGAAGACTGTGCTATGGTATTATATCTTTTTCTCCAATTTTAAAATTCTTCTCTAGTTTATAAACATGCATGCACCTTAATAACCTCATAAACTCTGGTCAAAGACTAATGCCTATCAGATCCATGACCATAACACTGAAGATTTATCTCATTTACTCCAGAGAGAATGATTCTTCTCAAAGACAATTCTCACAGCCCTTCCTTCTCCCTTAGAATATTTAGAAACAAATTAGGGAACTGTCAGGCCTCTGAGCCCAAGCCTGCACTATACATCCAGATGGCCTGAAGCAACTGAAGAACCACAAAAGAAGTGAAAATAGCCAATTCCTGCCTTAACTGATGACATTCCACCATTGTGATTTGTTCCTGCCCCACCTCAACTGATCAATTAAACTTGTGACATTCCTTCTCCTGGACAATGAGTCTCAGGAGCTCCCCACTGAGCACCTTGTGACCCCCCACCCCTGCCCACAAGAGAATAACCCACTTTGACTGTAATTTTCCACTACCTACCCAAATCCTATAAAGGCCCCACCCCATCTCCCTTCGCTGACTCCTTTTTCGGACTCAGTCCACCTGCATCCAGGTGACTAAAAAGCTTTATTGCTCACACAAAGCCTGTTTGGTGGTCTCTTCATATGGAAGCATGTGATATTTAGTGCCAAAGACCCAGGACTTGGGGACTCCTTCAGGAGACTGGTCCCCTGTCCTCGCCCTCACTCCATGAGGAGATCCACCTATGACCTCAGGTCCTCAGACCAAACAGTCCAAGGAACATCTCACCAATTTCAAATTAGGTAAGCGGTCTTTTCACTCTCTTCTCCAGCCTGTCTTGCTAACCTTCAATTTCCCTGTCCTTCCAATTCTAGTTCGTTTTCCTCTTCAGTAGAGACAAAGGAGACACATTTTATCCACGGACCCAAAACTCTGATGCTGGTCATGCACTCGGGAAGACAGTCTTCCCTTGGTGTCTGATCACCGTGGGGATGCCTTCCCTGATCATTCACCCCACATTCCACTGGTGTCTGATCACCATGGGGACGCCTGCCCTGATCATTCACCCCACATTCCACTGATGTCTGATCACCGTGGGGACGCCTGCCCTGATCATTCACCCCACATTCCACTGGTGTCTGATCACCGTGGTGACACCTGCCCTGATCATTCACCCCACATTCCATTGGTGTCTGATCACTGTGGGGACGCCTGCCTTGGTCATTCACCCACATTCCCTTGGTGGCAAGTCAATTGCAGGGATGCCTGCTTTGGCTGCTCACCCACATTACAGCCCAGGGCTGCTCATCACACCACCCCCTTCTCTGTCTCTAACTTTCTCTTTAAACTTACCTCTTCACTATGGGCAACCTTCCACCCTCCATTCCTCCTTCTTCTCCCTTAGCCTGTGTTCTCAATAACTTAAAAACCTCTTCAACTCACCCCTGACCTAAAACCTAAATGCCTTATTTTCTCCTGCAATACTGCTTGGCCCCAATACAAACCCAACTGGTTCCAAATGGCCAGAAAACGGCACTTTTGATTTCTTCATCTTACAAGACCTAGATGATTTTTGTCGAAAAATGGGCAAACAATCTGAGGTGCCTGACATCCAGGCACTCTTTCACACATTGGTCCTTCCCTAGTCTCTGCTCCTAATGCGACTCATCCCAAATCTTTCTTCTTTCTCTCCTGTTTCTTTAGTCTCCACCCCAAACTCTGAGTCCTTTGAATTCTCCTTTTCTACAGATCCATCTGACCTTTTCCCCCTTCCCCAGGCTGCTGCTGACCAGCCAGGCCGAGCCAGGTCCCAATTCTTCCTCAGCCTGCGCTCCCCCACCCTATAATCCTTCTATCACCTCCCCTCCTCACACCTGGTCCAGCTTGCAGTTTCATTCTGTGACTAGCCCTCCACCACCTGCCCAACAATTTCCTCTTAAAAAGGTGGCTGGAGCTGAAGGCATAGTCAAGGTTAATTCTCCTTTTTCTTTATCTGACCTCTCCCAAATCAGGTAGCATTTAGGCTTTTTTTTCTTTTTAAATCAAATATAAAAACCCAGCCCAGTTCATGGCCCATTTAGCAACAACCCTTAGACACTTTACTGTGCTAGACCCAGAGAGGCCAGAAAGCCATCTTATTCTCAATATGCATTTTATTAGCCAATCCACTCCAGACATTAAAAAAGCTCCAAAAATTAGATTCTCGCCCTCAAACCCCACAACAGGACTTAATTAACCTCGCCTTCAAGGCGTACAATAATAGAGAAGAGGCAGCCAAGTGGCAACGTATTTCTGAGTTGCAATTACTTGCCTGCATTGTTAGAGAAACCCCAGCCACATCTCCAGCACACAAGAACTTCAAAACGCCTAAACTGCAGTGGTCAGGTGTTCCTCCAGGACCTCCTCCCCAAGGATCTTGCTTCAAGTGCTAGAAATCTGGCCACTGGGCCAAGGAATGCCTGCAGCCCGGGATTCCTCCTAAGCTGTGTCCCATGTGTGTGGGACCCCACTGGAAACTGGACTGTTCAATTCGCCCAGCAGCCACTCCCAGAGCCCCTGGAACTCTGGCCCAAGGCTCTCTGACTGACTCCTTCCCAGATCTTCTTGGCTTAGCAGCTGAAGACTGATGCTGCTTGATCACCTCAGAAGCCTCCTGGACCATCACAGATGCTTTGGGTAACTCTTACAGTGGAGGGTAAGTCCATCCCCTTCTTAATCAATATGGAGGCCACCCACTCCACATTACTTTCATTTCAAGGACCTGTTTCCCTTGCCTCTATAACTGTTGTGGGTATTGATGGCCAGGCTTCTAAACTTCTTAAAATTCCCCAACTCTGGTGCTGACTTGGATAACAATCTTTTATGCACTCCTTTTTAGTTATCCCCACCTGCCCACCTCCCTTATAAAAGGTCGAGACATTTTAAGTAAATTATCTGCTTCCCTGACTATTCCTGGGCTATAGCCACACCTCATTGCCACCCTTTTCCCCAGTTCAAAGCCTCCTTCACATCCTCCCCTTTCATCTCCCTACCTTAATCCACAAGTATAGGATACCTCTACTCCCTCCTTGGCGACTCATCATGCACCCCTTACCATCCCTTTAAAACGTAATCACCCTTACCCCTCTCAATGCCAGTATGCCATCCCACAGCAGACTTTGAGGGGACTAAAGCCTGTTATCAATCGCCTGTTACAGCATGGCCTTTTAAAGCCTATAAACTCTCCTTACAATTCCCACATTTTACCTGTCCAAAAACTGGACAAGTCTTACAGGTTAGTTCAGGAGCTGTGCCTTATCAACCAAATTGTTTTGCTTATTCACTCTGTGGTGCCAAATCCATACACCCTTTTTGCCTCAATAACTTCTTCTGCAACTCACTATTGTGTTCTTGATCTTAAAGATGCTTTTTTCACTATTCCCCTGCACCTCTCATCCCAGCCTCTCTTTGTTTTTACCTGGACTGACCCTGACACCCATCAGCCTTGGCGACTTACCTGGACTGTACTGCCACAAGGTTTCAGGGACAGCCCCCATTACTTCAGTCAAGCCCTTTCTCATGGTTTACTTTCTGTCTGTCCATCTGCTTCTCACCTTATTCAATATTTTGATGACCTTCTACTTTATAGCCCCTCCTATGAATCTTCTCAACAGGACATCCTCCTGTTCCTCCAACATCTATTCTCAAAAGGATATCGTGTATCCCCCTCCAAAGCCCAAATTTCTTCCTCATCTGTTACCTATCTCGGCATAATTCTTCATGAAAACACACATGCTCTCCCTGCTGATTGTGTCCAGCTGATCTCTCAAACCCCTGTCCCCACCACCAATCAACAATTCCTTTCCTTCTTAGGCATTGTTGGATATTTCCAACTCTGGATACCAGGCTTTGCTATCTTCTTTTCACTCTCTCAAAAAGGCCCTGGAGACAGCTTCCACACTAGCACTCCCCGACTCGTCCCAGTCTTTTTCCTTACACACAGCTGAAATACAAGGCTGTGCTGCTAGAGTCCTCACACAGGAACCAGGCCCACAACCTGTTACCTTTCTATCAAAACAACTTGACCTCACAATTCTGGGGTGACCCTCATGTGTGCATGCAGTGGCAACTGCCACTTTAATACTTCTGGAAGCCCTGAAAATCATAGACTATGCTCCCCTTACTCTCTGCAGTTCCCATAACTTTCAAAATCTATTCTCCTCCTCACACTTGACATATATACTTTCTGCGCCCTGGCTCCTTCAACTGTACTCACTATTTGTTGAATCTCCCACAATTACCATTGTTCCTGGTCCAGACTTCAATCCAACCTCTCATCTTATTCCCGATACTACATCTGAACCCCATGACTGTATCCCTCTAATCCACATGGCATTCTCCCCTTTTCACCATATTTCCCTCTTTCCTGTTCCTCACCCAGACCACACTTGGTTTACTGATGGTAGTTCTTCCAGGCCCAATTGCCAATCACCGGCAAAGGCAGGCTATGCTACAGTGTCTTCCACATCTATCACTGAGGCTATGGGCCTGCCCCCTTCTGCTACCTCTCAGCAAGCTGAACTCATTGCCTTAACTCAAGCCCTCATTCTTGCAATGGAACTATGTGTCAATATCTATAACGATTCCAAGTATGCCTTCCACATCCTTCAACACCATGCTGTTATATGGGCAGAAAGAGGTTTCCTCACTACATAAGGGTTCTCCATCATTAATACCTCCCTAATAAAAACTCTTCTTAAAGCTGCTCTACTTCCAAGAAAACTGAGGCCATTCACTGCAAAGGCCATCAAAGGGCATCAGATCCCATTGCTCAGGGCAATGCTTATGCTAATAAGGTATCTAAACAAGCATCTAGCGTTTCAACTTCTGTCCGTCATGGCCAGTTTTTCTCCTTCTCATCTTTACACTTTACATTTCCAGTTTTGCCTTACTCAAGGTCTCTTCTTCCCTGTGGCTCCTCCACCTACATGTGTCTACCTGTTAAT